ATATTTTGTACTAGTTGATTTATTTTTTTATTTTATACTTAAATTACGGTAACCTCAATAATGTGTTTTTTCAAAGAGTTACGATGCTTTTATAAAACGTTAGACGTTGTTTATATATATAACCGTTTCTGTTATGTGAACTCATTGTACATAAAAATAAGTTTTGAGAGTATAAGAAAAAAAACTTTCTTTAAACACATTTTTCCAGAAACAATATTTTCTTTTGTGTAACTTGCGTCCTAACTCGATTCCGGTATAGGAAGAACCCACCAGTCTGATGGACATTTTTTTTCCAAAATGCTCAAGTATTGTGCGTTTATTGTTGAAATACACCTACTCAGTATTCGTTACTTTGTTAATAAATGTAAATACAATAATTTGTTTGCAAACTTTAATACCTAAGTAAGGTTAACTTTAATGTTATTATAGTTGTTTAATATTCTACATCAAAACTGTTTATCAATTCGTGTAATAATAGTATACCTGTACGCGGCTATATATTCTGATATTGTTGAATAGTGCGTAATCTATTAAATAGTAATATAATAAATATAGTACTCGTATAATAATTTATAAACTATTAATTAATTAATAAAATTAAGTTTTATAATTTATAATTTAAAAATGATGTGATTAGCTATGTTAAGTACTTGTTGTACATTTATTTATTTTAGTTTTATTTACTTGCAATTTTTACGACAACATTCGAGTACATTATACATATGATATAATCGTATTATACGATTAATTAATAACACGGATAGAACACATAGATCGACGTTAAATTATATGTTTTTCATTAGATATACCTACGAATTTTAATGTAGATTATTGCGTGGACTAACTTTTAAGTAATTAAACGGGGTGTGTTATTATAATTTATTTTTGTTAAGCATCAATGTTCAAATTAGGAAGGTGTAATTAATTGCTTCATTATGGGATCGTAAACGGAGAGTAATGATCGTAAACAGTTGGGGAAAAATGGTTCAGAGATGACTGAACGTCAATAATTAAAGGCAGCAGAAAACTAAGATTTTCCGCGTAAAATGTATTTAATAATTGTTATTATTTTATGGTGCATTCCAGTTAAATTTTGCCGTCTGAATCGGTTAACGACGTTATTGCGATTTTTTTACGTTCGAAAATTAAAGCAGCGAGAATCCCTATCAGTAATTTAACGAACGAATAAAAATCGTTTTACGTGTTTCGTGCGAACGCGCATTTCGAGAACAACAACGGACGTGTAACGTGATACAATGAAAAATGTGAAATAAAAATCTAAGGTGACGCGTTTTACATTCACCATAAAAGACATCGTTGGTTTGGGTCCAGTTTATCATATGCACTTTCCAAGCTTAGACTTTAATGGTTGCTCTCACAGCCTTAATCGGTAAATTTCAGGTTTCTAGAATGACATAGAATAGTTTTATAATCCGTGCGGTTGTATCGATTCACCACCGAGCGTGAAATTAAACCGAAACGACTCCTTCGGTAGAGACCACGGAAAAAACATTCTCGACCGTTGTGATACGAAAGCGTTTGCCGCTCGATCGAGATCTCGGCAAAGCTTTTGCCAAAAGCCAAAGCTTTTGAGACGACCGGTGATTATATGCATGTCAGTTACTATCATCTTTTTTCAGTCTTCCGCTGTGGCGTAGTCGCTATAGCTCCAACAATAACAAGTGTTTTGTTCCAACAAGATACAATACAAAACAGCGGTTTCAAAATATTTTTTTTGGTTATCAGAACCCTTTTAGAATTTGGGTTATCTCATGGTGTTGTCGATAAAATCGAAGTTCTTTTTTTTTTTCTAGATAGAAATAAAGAAAACCAAAAAAAGTGGTAATGGATAATCAGAAAACGGTCGGTGACGCATCGCCCCTGTAAGGGTACCACGGAGCAAGCTTTGGAAATCGTTGCACTATAACATTAATATATGAGCGTATTTTCATAAAACGTGACCGCTAAAGCGTTACCGGGGAAACAACCCTTCTATTTAATGGGGACCCATTAAAAAAAAAATAAATAAAAATAAATAAAATTAAATTTTATTTATTTATTTATCTATTTTATTTATCAACGACGAATTTTATAATTTTGTTTTCCATTCGTAGAACTTACAGAACTTATTATTTTATATTTATCATATTACTATTTATTACAGAATAAATTTATCGTATATTATTATTACTTATTGAATATTTGGTGTAGTGAAATATTTTTGACGTAAATAGTCATAATTTATCATTATATGCCGTTAAAAAAAAAATCTATGACCCGCATTTGAGGTTTGTAAACAAAAAAAGTCTCAGATGTAGGGTTACACTGCACCGCCGCTAAATCTGGCGTTGACCGGAGATCGCATATCGAACACGCGGATCCGACAAAGTGCCGGTAGCCGCGACTATCGTTTATAACACAATATGACAAAAACGTGTCAACTTAATGCACGTGGCGGTGGCAGCGGCGCGCATAATACACTTACTTTTATTGTTCGGTACGAGCTGTAATACATATTTTTCGTTCTCGGATGACATAATAATAATAATACGGTTTTTGTTCTCCTAATAACGTACCGGTAGGTATTACAATAATAATAATAATAATAATAATAATAATAATAATAATAATAATAA